AGTCATAGAGATCCTTTGTTCTCGAGATACACGCTCGACCCTCGCGGCGACTGCGTGTGTTTTCACCGGCCGTATTTGCCGTTCCTTCTGAACACGGTCAAGTAATAGACACCATTAGTATTTTAAAGTAAATTAATAGTATTAAAAAGGGTTTAAACAGGCAACTATAGGATGCTTTTAGTTATAATCATTATATTCTATGCTCTCGCTATTTATGTGATTTCTTGGTGTTATCTATGCTGTCTTTTGTATTTGTCACGTGCTTTGCTGCTACTTCTGGAATCTCTGAGTGTCGCGATTGACTCTTTCCTATTCGCGTAAAACTTTGTTAAAAATCTAGCGAATTGTAGTCGCGCTTTCAATGGAAACTTTGTTCGTGATTCTTATTTATTCGTGTGTTCTTTGGTGTTCGTGATCCGTCCTATTTATTTCGCGCTGTTTGTGAAAATATCAGAACCAGCTGTTTAGTCTCTAAGAAGTATTCCGAAGTCGAATTGCTAGGGACGGCCCTGTGCCATGAGCGCGTCACGAGCTTCACCGCTCCCCGCGAATACACGCTAAGCCCGCGCCTATAAACTCGCCGAGCTCGCCGCTCACGCGTGCGTCGTCTACCGCGCGATAGCCGCCGTGCTATTCTATGCGAAACGCCGTAGATCGCTGTATGCCTTAGAATACCTTATTCTATCTGATTTCGAAGACTATGGTCTAATATTATATGTCCGATCGATGTTCGTGGATTCGTTCCGCATTGTTAGTGTCTTTGGCGTTATTCTTTCCGCGTTAGTGCCTTTTGCGTTAATCTTTCCGCGTTAGTTTAAGTCCAATCTTTAGTGTAATATTAGCGACTTTCTCTCCTCCGCTGCTTAGTGGACATCTTACGGATCGGCCATTGTCCCTTGGTGCATCTCGTAGTGAGATTAGGTTTAGTGACTTTGTGAACGGGTGGCACGTCTTAGGACCGTTGGCGTCGCCCCCGGATCCGTTAGATTCTTGGTGATAATTTTGTGAACGAGAGACCCGTCTTAGGTTGTTGGCGTGGTCCTCGTTTCCGTTATATTAGTGTTTAGTTTTAGCGTAACCCGGCCGGTTCCGAATTTGGTAAAATTCTTTAGTGACAAAGAGAGTGCGTTGCTCTCGTGGTCTCGTGCTCTCCCGCGAGGGATACCTGGCGCCCAACCCGTTCTTTCGTGTTGGTGATAGGAGGCAGAGAGAGAGGACCATTGCGAGTCGTTTTTGCTGACGTAAGATCCATCTTATTAGTTTTTGTTTTGTTATTTTTTTTTTGTTTACGTCACAAAATTTGGCGCCCAACGTGGGGCCCGAGGTGAGATCGAAAATTATAAATCTTAACGTCACAGTGTGTATACGAATGCTTATGACGGTAACGCTCATTTCATGAAACTGTATATTCTTTTATGTTTTCTTAATATATTTAGTGTAACGTGACAAAACGACCAACCTCTCAGTACTCCTGTACTGCGAGCTCACTTGTTACAAATAGACAACAAGGACGCGTGGCTAGTGTCAACACTAGCCGATAGATGAAAAACGTCTCCCGAAAGTTAATCCGCGGAAAGTAATATACAAATAATCCGATAGAGGATTAGCGCTTCTCGCTAATAAATATCGGACTACAATTAGTTAAATACCACATTTCAGATCAATTTAATCATTCGAACAGACGAAGTGTAAATTCACCGAGAGGTGACGCGTAAGAACAGTAAAGTCAGCGTATATTAATTCCAAAAGGATCACGCGTCGTAAAATCGTTAAATCAGTAAGCTCGATTTATATCCTCTGGGATAGAGCATATTAGTGTCATAAAAAAAACCATAGTACATAATCTTGTCGACGGCTACGGCACATTAGCATTCGCTATTCAGTCTAGACCGAATCGTAGAGAAAAATTGTCAACGTTCTGAGGAGACCACCGCGATCTACCTCAGAAACTTCAGTTATCGCCATTTTGTTTAATCTATTACCCGCGCCGTTAGTAGTTAAGTCGCACACAGTGCTATAGCCAATAGATAGGCAAAGCGCCACTAGGGCTACAGGACCAACACAGGCAAACCCTTTGTACCGCACATACAGGTCAGAGTAAGACAGGAATAGAAAAACAAGTATAGGACGACTCCTAGACAATCCTTTTCCTACAATACCGACACTTAATTGAGACTAGGGTAATTGACATCGATTATAAAACTGTTGTACCGATTATCGATTATTCAATAAATTTTTGTTATTTTATTTTATTTTACCAACCTGTGTCGACTAAATTCTGAAAGACGCCAGCCCCGAGCACTTACCTACATCCCATTGCGTACACTCATAAGGAGCGTACGAAATTGCACTATCGAGAAACGTTACATTAGATGTGATATAAAATAAACTTAAATTGTTATTTCTTGAAAAATGTGTTTTGTGTTAATAAAACAACACACATTATTTGCTTTATTCTCTAGTATATCACGATTGTCGCTTACAAATTGTATGACTAATGCTTTTTCTTCGAGGGTGAAATTCTCCTTTCGTTCCATGATGATCTACAACCATGTATTTATTTTTTCATTTTCATGTCATACCTATCTTATAATAATTTTAACGTATTAATTGAATATTAATAGCTTGGCTTCAAGAAAGGGAATTCTTGAATTTTGAATTTCAAATATAGCTGCAGTTTCCACCAGATATGAAGTTCGCGCTTTCCGAATGCCACCGAATACTCCCGGACATAATCGAATATGCCTGAGTCTTCCCGAATGATTCCAAACGCGGATGAAAGTACATGTTACAACACGCTGCGTCCTGTTAGAGCATCGCTAGCTAAAAGCGGCTTAAAAGCGAATTCTGAATACGGTCACTAACAACTCGGCGCAGTCACCTTTAACTAATAGTGACTCTGCTAGTGACCTTAAGAGCGAGTTCTGAATACGGACTTTAGTCTCGAAATAACATCACAGCTGTAACAAATTTTCTTAACTCGATACCGATAGCGAAAAATCCGAGAAATATCTTCGAAAACCAACCTACGTTACCTTCGGCCGTCCACCCTTCACTGTTGCATCAGCAAGCCAGGCGGGCGTTAGCCAATTTTTTTTTCTCGACCGATTTTTATGAAATTTTGTATGTATATTTCGTAGGTATGAGAATAGATCATAAAGTATATTTCATACCGCTATGTGATTAGGGTGTCCCTATCCAGAAAAATTTTTTGTATTTTTATTTTATAACAATTTTTTTTGTATTTTTTTTTATTTGGCATCAGAAAATACCTATAACTCCAAATTTTCACACTCCTACCCCCACCATTCCATTTCTTAGTACGCGATAATCTTATACGCGATTTTCGTATTTTTTTTATGAACAATATCGAAATAATTTAACCGTCGTTCGTATTTCAAACAGAACGAAGTTATTTGTGTTGTTGAATGATAAATGGCGCCACGTCCGCCTCATCGAACTTTCATCCACGCATGCGTCACGCACGCACGTCATTTTGACATTTTATCATGAAATGTCAATTTTGATTTATAAGCAATATATACGTATTTTATGATTCTAAAAAGGTTGGTAAAATACTAAAAGAACAAATACATTATCGGTATACCGTTTTTCATCAGTAAGTACAACAATTTTGTCTATTTGTGTGTGTGTGTGTGTATTACAATGAACAATTAATTTATCAGAAAGGTTGGTAAAATACTAAAAGGACAATTACATTATCGGTATACCGTTTTCATCAGTAAGTAAAACAATTTTGTGTATTTGTGTGTGTATATATTACAGTGAATAATGCCAGCAAGACGCAAGGGAGCCTATTTAGGCTGTTGAACGAATAAAGCAACAAACATGCGAAATAGTAGAGCAGAAAGAACAGACGAACAAATCCAACAAGATAACGAAAATATGCGTGTGAGCATGTCGCAATTGTGTGCATCTCAATCACAAGAGGCACGACCTGAACGAAATCAACAACGACAATTGGAACGGAGACAATCGCGCAGCTGCAGTTTCCACCAGATATGAAGTTCGCGCTTTCCGAATGCCACCGAATACTCCCGGACATAATCGAATATGCCTGAGTCTTCCCGAATGATTCCAAACGCGGATGAAAGTACATGTTACAACACGCTGCGTCCTGTTAGAGCATCGCTAGCTAAAAGCGGCTTAAAAGCGAATTCTGAATACGGTCACTAACAACTCGGCGCAGTCACCTTTAACTAATAGTGACTCTGCTAGTGACCTTAAGAGCGAGTTCTGAATACGGACTTTAGTCTCGAAATAACATCACAGCTGTAACAAATTTTCTTAACTCGATACCGATAGCGAAAAATCCGAGAAATATCTTCGAAAACCAACCTACGTTACCTTCGGCCGTCCACCCTTCACTGTTGCATCAGCAAGCCAGGCGGGCGTTAGCCAATTTTTTTTTCTCGACCGATTTTTATGAAATTTTGTATGTATATTTCGTAGGTATGAGAATAGATCATAAAGTATATTTCATACCGCTATGTGATTAGGGTGTCCCTATCCAGAAAAATTTTTTGTATTTTTATTTTATAACAATTTTTTTTGTATTTTTTTTTATTTGGCATCAGAAAATACCTATAACTCCAAA